ACTATGTTTCAAGATGTGCAAGATAAAATATGTGACCGGTGATCTGTTCTCCGCTCCGAACCAGGAATCATTAGCGCACTGCGTTAGTGAAGATTTACGAATGGGGAAGGGAATCGCAGTTTTATTCAAAAAGAATTTTGGTCGAGTCGACGCGTTAAAGGAGCAGAGTAAGTTTTTTAATTTGTTTTTTTTTGTTCGTTTGTTTCTTTGTTTGTTTTTAAAAAACTTGTTGTCCTAATAGATAAGCTGACTGGAGAATGCGCAGTCCTAACACATGATCGACGCTTCATATACTACTTGGTAAATATACCACAGGCAATTATGTTGCATTCATTATGCAATCTGGTAAGTGTATCTTTCCTATCATGCGTGTCAGATTACAAAGAAAAAAGCCAGCCAGAAGCCCACATATGTCAGCCTTCGTCAGAGTCTGGAAGCCATGAAATGTCACTGCTTAGAAAATAACGTGAAAAGAATATCACTACCTAGGTTTGTAGGAATTACTGTCGATAAATACCCTTAATTCTTCTTTATTTGATAATTAAACACAATATTTTATCTCCTTCAGAATTGGATGCGGCTTGGATCAGTTGGAGTGGTCAAAAGTCTCACAGATTCTGCAAGATGTGTTTAAACAGACAGATATAGCCCTGACGGTCTACAGCATTTTGTAGGGAAAAGAATGCCCACCTGTTGTTTTCCGCTAATTAGTTCCGGATGCCTTAGCTTCTTTTTCGCTAGATAATTCACCCATCACCCCTATTTTGGACAAACACTCTGTTCATCCCAAGGCCGCAGCTCTTCATCAGGTCCAGATGTAGATTAACTTTCCCGCCACTGAGGAGGGAGGATCCTCTTTAGCCTTTTTTTTTTCTTGCAAGAAGGTTGGACAAGACTCTGTTCATTCCAGAGTTGCTGCTGACCCGGGCATTGGATTTTGGGTTTTGTTACTGGACTGGACTGGACTGGGCTTTTTTTTCTTTTTTTTTTTTTTTAAAAAAAAGAGAGAAATTGCGCATCCTCGCCATGGCGGTGCTATCTGAATCTCAGTACAATGAACTATTAGGGGGTAAGTTACAGCTCTCTCTCTCTCTCTCTCTCTCTCTCTCTCTCTCTCTGTCTCTCTCTCTCTCTCTCTCTTAACTTTTAAGCTTCAATCTGACGCTGCATTTTTTCTTCAGATCTCGTCTTGCAAGATACGGAGAGGACGAGCGTACCGCAGTTACAGTACGGTCGGTATTTTAACGCTCCTCGTTGTCCCGAGCGTCGCGGCATAACAAAAAATTAATTACAACATTTTAACAGATTTACAGGGGGATCGAGTCACTAGAGCTGCAAGGAGAGTGCAACGGAGACCGGATAATTCTACACAAAACGAAAAACGGAGCCGTCGTCTTACAAGCGTCAATCCTATCGAGGGGTCAAGACGTAGAGGAATTAAACGTCAGTTTTTGTTTATTTTTTTCTCGCGTTTATTTAGATCGAACCCTATTCCATTATTTTAAAGAAAGTTTCTCTGTTTTTATTTTTTACAGCGCAGAACAAGCTTTCCATCGTTAATGAATTAATTTCAGGTATTTTAAAAATCTATTATGTTTTATGCGTTACCGTCTTTAAAACGTTAGTAATTTATTTCTCTGATGCTTTTTTTTTTTTTTTTTTTTTTTTTTTTTGGGCTTTATTTTTTTTTCCCCCCGTTTC